AAGAAGAAGAAGAAGAAGAAGAAGAAGAAGAAGAAGAAGAAGAAGAAAGCAGCAGGCCTGAGGTTCAAACCTGCAAGAAGTGCCAGGCCTGTTTTATTTTGTTGTTACTCGGCCTTGCAAACCCAGCTACCCTTTTGAATAGTGTGAATGTGTGTGTGTGTGTGTGTGTTAGTGCCAAATACTTTCATGCAGCATCTGATGCTGCCTTTTCACACACACACACACACAGCCAATGCTCTCCTGCACACTCCTTGCTAAACAGGCTATCAAGTCACAACAGCTGTTTAGCTACTATTGATGGGAACGGGATCTGAACTCTGAAAGTAGAAATCTCCTGAGCTTTTCTGCCTATCCAGCACTTGATATTTCGAAAGGGCAACACTGAACACTGAACTGAAAGTACTTTTGCTCTGAGGCTGCTTGTGATGTCTCACACACTTGCCAGAGTCGGATGGGTTCAGCACACGGTAGCAGCTCCTCCATCCCCTTTGGAAACACACGGTGCCTGTAATATAAACTCAGTTGCCTACAAAATAGCAATGGTAACTCATCCAAAATCTTGCCTGAGGCACATCTCCACGTTCTGATTGCAAAGTCAATTGTCAAACAGGAATGCTTTGCCAAAGGGGAAGAGAGAGAGAGAGAGAGAGAGAGAGAGAGAGAATGAGGGAGGGGAGAAAGGGGGGGGGAGGGACAGAGGAGAGGGAGGAAGAAAGAGGGGGAGAGAGGGGGGAAGGGGAGAGAGAATGAGAGAGGGGAGAAAGAGAGAAGGGGAGGGAGGGAAAGAGTGGGAGGAAGAAAGAGGGGTAGAGAGAGGGGAAGAGAGGGAAGAGAGAATGAGGGAGGGGAGAAAGAGAGAAGGGGAGGGAGAGAGAGGGAGGAAGAAAGAGTGGGGAGGGAGGGAAGGTGAGAGACAATAAGGGAGAGTGTGAGATAAGGATGGGAAGAGAAAGAGAGAGGGAGGGAGGGAGGGAAGGAAGGAAAATGAAAGAGGGAGGGAGGGAGAGAGAGAGAGAGAAATGGGACTGCATCCATCCAAGGCAAGAATTGTGTAAAGGGCAATACAGGTAGTCCTTGACTTACGACCACAATTGAGTCCAAAACTACTACTTTTTTTAAAAGATATATTTTTATTGTTTACATATGAATATATTGAATACAGTGTAACTGTCCTGGCATTCCAATTCCATACCTTTTAAAAAGAAAAAGTGGAAACCGAATAACATACCGTGTATATACTATTTTAAACAGAATTGAGCCCAAAACTTCTGTTGCTAAAGTGAGAATGTTGTTAAGTGAGTTTTGCCCCCTTTTAGGAGTTTTCTTGCCACGTTTGTTAGGCAGATCATTAGGAACATGATTGTTAAGCGAATCTGGTGGCTTCCCCGTTGACTTTGCCTGCCAGAAGGTCGCAAAAGGGACACACACACACACACACACACACACACACACACACACACACACACACGGGACGCTGTGACCATCCTAAGTACGAGCCCCTTGCCAAGTGGCTGGATTTTAATCATCGGGACTGAAAGAGAATCAGAAGAGGGGCCCTCGAAACTCCCTGAGCCTGGTTGTTTTCCTGCAGACATTTCAGTACCCACATTGGTGATGTCATCAGGACCAGCCCTGAGGACATTGCCTAGTTGGGCCCTGAAAAGTCTGCAAGAATCAGAGTATTAAGGACGCTGCAGTTGTTGTGGTTGTTGTTGCTGTTCTTCCTCTTCCTCCTCCTCTTCTTTTTCTTCTTCCTCCTCCTGTTCTTCTTCCTCCTCCTCCTCCTCCTCTTCCTCCTCGTTCTTTCTCCTCCTCCTCCTCTTCTTCCTCCTCCTCCTTTTTCCTCTTCCTCATCTTTTTTCTTCTTCCTCCTCCTCCTTTCTTCTTCTTCTTCTTCTTCTTCTTCTTCTTCTTCTTCTTCTTCTT